GCCTTTCCAAAAAAACAACAACAACAAAACAATTTTCCCTTCACATTCGCTTTAAGAGGATCGCTCTGTAATTGCACGACATAATTGGCTTTTGTGGCCAAATACCTAAACATTACTAGGCCTAATTCTTTTTTTTAACGTCTTCGTGATATTTTCTGAAGAATGATATACTCGGTGGTGCTTCTGTCTTTGATCATATACTCAGCTAGATCACTATCAATAGGTAAGCTTTTCAAAAATACTAAAATGAGGTAGTGTAAAAGTGTAAGTTCAGATGAGATCTTGGCTCAGCCCATACCAGATTACGCAAAAAAGCTTACTGGCAAAGCTCTTGTTGATTACGTCAATAAGCATCAATCTTTCTTCAAGGTGAGATGCCCACTACAGGGCTTGTGACACTACATAGAATTATGCAATACGCACTTAACTCTTCCAGGCAGAGTATTTTCCGAATGCTGAATCATTCATGAAAACTCGATTAATGGATGCTAGGTATTTGAGATCACTTGGAACTTCCAATGTTGCTTCGGGCAAAACTTTTGACGGCGACCTTCCTGAAAGGTATACTGGTGATTTTGGAAAGCTCCTCCCCCCTTCCTTATTGAATTCCAATGAAGAGAGTGATTTTAGATTTGATGCGCGCGAGAAATGGCCAAATTGCCCTTCGATAGGCTACATCCGCGACCAGTCTGCTTGCGGTTCGTCACAACGTTGCTTCTCACACGTCATGCAAAAACCACATTACAGATCGCAGATGCGATTATCTTTTGTTGCTCATGGTATACCTTCATAGTTAAGAGTCGCTCGTTTTGAAGTACTCGTAAGCTGACCGAGGGGCGGCCCTCTTGCGTTGCCGCAAGGATGAATGTTGGCCGAAATTCAGCCCCTCATCTATATATGCTACAATTTTTCCTTCAAATTTGCCTTTTAGCAAAATTAGAGTATTCGAGAGGCTAGCGAACAGTGTGTTAGCAGAACTGGCCCCAAAGGAATGGAAATTTCATGCTTGCACGATCATTTTGCAACTTGACTCAAGTTAAACAAAGTTGAAATTTTCCGGAAAAGATAAAGTAAATGAAAATGGATTAACAAGTGATTCCATTAGTCTAAAAGTCTTTTGCAATAAAGGCATTAATTCGAAATACACTTCATAAGAAATTACATTAATTGGGGATCAAAATGTAAAAAGTGAAGTAGCAGTAAAGTACGCAAGAAAGGTGCGTTGTCATAGCTAAAATTCTTTTCGCTATGACTACGTACCTTTCTGGCGCACTTGTTCGACATCACTGTTACTCCTGGAAACTGCATCTTTAGAAAAATAATTCAAACTAAACTCGGAAGACAGAAGCGCGGCTCAGTTAAAAGTAGAGTTCCAGTTGACATCCAAAGTTCCTTTCACCCCTTCCCCAACGTTCTCTTTTTACACCTCTTCCCCTTCTTCCCATTGAACATTTGTTTCTCAAATGAGCGAGTATTAAATATTCGTTTGTGACGAAAATTTTCGAACAAGCAACAATATTCGAGGCGCCATGCCATTTCAAAATATATTTGAAAGCGAGGGTTTGAAAAAAGTATGTTTTGAATATTCGAATATTAGAGTCAATTGGCATAAGAGATTATTTATCTCTTTTAATAGTTATGTATTCGTTTTTGAGTATTCAATTATTTAAATTGTTCGAATGTCTTATTCGAGTAAGGGTATTATTAGGTCTGATAGTAGTATTATCAGGTCTCAACTACATTTAACAATTTCTCAGAGATTCAACGACTATTCTATGATTTCGCAGTCATTCGAACAAACGAACTATTCAAATATTGCAAAGCTATTCAATCAAATATCCGAGTATCGATCTTCTTAGAAATTCACCAGATGACTGAATAACATGGTTTTCTTAGTATGTAACTACTCGAGATTAAAATCTTCAAAGTCTTCCACATTGCTGGCTGTGTATATCATATATGTTAATGTTACATATTTATTTATCTTTGCAACAAGCGTAGCCTTAGAAAAGGTAGTCAGACCAGATCAACATAGGAGTTTACTTTTGCGTAAGAGCTCGTACGAGCTAAGAAACGATTGTAAAAGGTATAGCCTATGCAAATGCCAACGTTTTGAAAGAAACTAGGAGCTTAGGGTCTTGGCTCGCCAACGACATAATGAGAAATCATTTGTTAGCCAATAGTCTTTACCAGTGCGTACAGGTTTGTTGCTGGGCATTCTAAATAAGAGAAAAAAGGGCAATGAAGCTTGAGGGTACGCTACTGAGCAGCCAATTAATGGACACGGACTTGCAAGAGAAATTTAAGGAACTGGATTGAAATAATAGGATTTTTAGGATGAAATATGATTAGGAAAAGATTAGCATTGTATACCCTTGAATTTTGAACAGTAGAAAGTGCTCAAATGAGTAAATACACAATAGGTGACAAAATGTTATTTTGTAGATATAGACTGTCCATTTGTGTATATATCGAGAAAATTGGCGTTTTACAGCCAATGCATGGAAATCTGATTGAAATCAAACCTGAGCTTGAAGACCTGGGATGGTAGTAATTTGACAATAAAGCTGCGAGTTGACTGCGAATTAACTGTGAGTTGATTCGCAGTAACTCCTAGTTAGCATGCAAAAAAAATGAACCAGGTAATTTTGCTACAAGATACTGCACCGATAAGATCTCTAAACGTTCACAAAAGGTGTAATATTAAAACTCAAAAAAATTGGTTCAACTCTGAACAAACTCGGAGTTAACTCGCAGTTAACCACAAGCTTTTCGCAAGTAAAAAATGAAATGAAACTACGAGTACTGCAAGTTTTTGTGATAAGGCGAGATAGCGTTGTAAGAGGTGGAGGCACAGGTACAATAGTGCTCATATCATCAAAAAGTTCTATGGAGCACTTTTCATAAAATGAGCTATTATACTTGTGTCTCTATTCCTACACTATCTCATCTTGTCCTCGGAATCAACTCGTAGCTATACTACATTTCTTTACTGCCAACTGACTTAGCGGTTAACTGCGAGTTAACTCCAAGTTCCAGCCTGTGAGGGATATTGACACGAATATCACGCTTGTATGCATAGCACGTTAGATCAAGTTCACATAACGTAACAAGAATTAGAATAACATCCCATAGAATTTCCATTAGTCAACAGCGTAAATTGGCCCGTAGTAAAGTCCACTCAGCAGAGATCACCTGAAGACAGCGTCAGGTGAACTCAAGGCAGATTTGGAATAGATTTACAAGCACTCAGCAGGATTTGCCACTTTTAATCGCCGCCTCGACCGATTATCCTTCCTTTGTGAGCGCTGTGAGTGAATGGTTGATTCCATTTACACACAGATCGAGGACTGGAGTTTTGTGAGCTAAACTTCCTAGCTACTATATATGTGGAAGAGAATGGCGCCCAAGAGAGTAGTTTCGAAGAACACGGTCTCTCCATTTTTAGAAGCTGGCAATGGGCCAGCATAAAATCGATGGTTGCGGGTCAATCTCAGTGTCCATTGAATTTTTGCAGGAAAAATGTTCTATGGCTTACTAAATAAAGGATATTTTAGCGTTGTTTATTTCCTAGTCATAGATGCGGCGCGCATTTGACTACAAACATTGCAGAGGCATTTGAACGGTATTGGGCTTATAAATGCCTTGCAGGGCGCACTAATGTTTAACTCAGTGCTTTTCTGCTTCAGAGGGCTCCGATAGCAGTACGCCAACCTTGAATAAATATAAAAGGCTTGATTGATTCAAGAGAGATATATTGGATCCGTTTGATCAGTGCCTTTGTCGTTATACCTCCAGCTTATCGAATGTTTTCAAATGATACAGCATTTCTTTCTAGGGAGAGTTTTAGATAGGGAGAATGATGTAGTTTGATGTTATTGGATACGATTTTTGATGCTTCTAAGATTAGCATTATTCAAAAAAACAAATAAACCATAGTATTCTAACTAGTAAGCAATAGCAATGTTGATTACGAACCACGTTGCTGACTTTGTCTAAAGTGTAACCTGAGCTACGATATCAAATTTTTGCAATAGATATTTTTACTCTAGAACCGATGCTTGAGCTCAAGAAAATGAATGACCATCGTAGAAGAAGGAAACCTTGCTTCATATCTTATCACACACAAGCTTGATCTTTCAGTTATCGAGACATGAAGATGCCCAAGTGTAGAAGTGTTTTTGGGCCAATTTCCACAGATATTTGAAATCACTCAATTAGTGCACTATTTTCACTTTCTACTCACTCTGTATTATGATCAGTGTAAAGCATCTCCACTAGATGCAAGCCTTTCAATACTGTGATATGGAGTTTAGAAAATTCCGAGGTCAAAAAGTCCTAAAGGTTAGCTTTGGGTAATTAGCACTTTTTCTTATTTTTAAAATTCTGACTTTCTACTAGTTTTGACCTGCTTCCACCACTGATTCTCTCACCCCTTCCCTACTCCTTCTCCTCCTTTCCTTCCTCCTCCGTCTTCCTTTTTCTCTCATCCTAACGAACCCACCCTTTGTTTCGATTCCTCAACCTCTTGACTACTGTACTATTTACGTGGGTCAACGCACTTCTCCACCTACTTTCTTTGGCTACTGCTGGTAATACTTTTATTTGCAAGTAAATCACTTTCATCAAATACGTTGAAAATCTATAAAGTTCAAAATGGGGCAATATGCAAAGAGAAGAGAACGCGGTTGCACGCATCCCAGGTGACCCACCCTGGTCGCGTGGTCGTCCTTAAGTTAGTGCTGACATCCTTTGCCGCAACAATATTCCTCCACTCTTTGGAGGGATCCGCTGATTCGAAGGGCACTCTTCAAATCAGCGGAATTCAAAAAGCGGGGTAATATTTACGGTCAAAATAAGCATTAAGGCTTCCGCAGCATCAGTTGTTTGACTTCAAAAACTTTCTAGGATAACTGCAGCGCATTTGTGAGTTTTTCAGGAGCTGCAATTTTACACATATTTGTAAATAAGCAGTGGCATTACAGCAAAACTTTCTGATAACGCATGCAAAGGTGCGAGAGTATCTATAAGAAGTTGTTTAGGCTCTTGTTGGGCGGTGAGTGTGGCGGAGGTCATCAGCGATCGCGCTTGTATACAGTCGAACTCCACGAGGAAGGTTGGATGCTTCATTGCCTTAATAAAGATTTATTTCAAGATGTCGATTTGAAGGCACACCTTTCGGAGACGGATATCCTCGCTTGCTGTGGGGACGAATGTGGCTTTGGGTAAGAATATATTGCGTATGAGGTTATCGGGGGCCATGCTACCACGCATGTACGATTCGAGAACCACTGCATGCTCCCTGCTCTCTATCTCTCAGCCAACTCAAGACTGACACATTGTCTCTTTTTTACTCCCAGAAATAGACTTTTAGATCCACCTTTATATATTCTATAGCTATTGTCCGACGAAAGTATCTAACACAAGGCAGATAAAGCATTTATAGACCAGCTTGCCTCCAGCCGCAGGCTTAAAAACCTTCCACATCAAAACTGCTGGATTGCTTCGACTTGACAACCTCTACATTACACGATCTTTTACAGTCTCCTTTTTTTCATAATTCTTTTTTACCGATTGACATTGTTATGATGGGTTATAAATGAGATCAGACCATAGGTCTGTTTTATTGCTTTAATCCATGTACGCAGATGCAAAGGAGGCTATCTTCACAAGGCTTTCGAATTTGGTCAAAAATTTGGCGTTTGCACTGGAGGGCGATATCGTGAAAAGGTAGACTCATCGCTATTTACTTATATGCCATAAGTCAGAAATCTCTTTCAAGAACAATTGCAAACCTTATCCTTTCTACCCTTGTGATGAGCACAAAAACCAGCGATACTACGGACCATGTCCCGAAGATCCTTTTTTAACGCCGAAGTGCCGAAAAACATGCCAATTGAA